ATTGAATTATCCTAAATCTTCATCCGCTATTAATTTTATCCAAAGATATAGAAATATATTTCGGAGTATATTTCGAGATATATTTCAAAGAAAGATAACACTCCTTCAAAACTACAAATTCAATCCCACCAAAAAAAACAAACCCATATAAAAATTTAATAAATTTTCGAAAATATCATATATCAATTATAAAAGAATATAATTATCTTCGAAGATTCGTAGATTGCCGTCCTCCATTCGTAGGCGGATATCGATCATCTATCATTTTCATTCTAAATTATCAAGTGAAAATTCCCGTCGATCTAGCATCGTATCATCTCACAATTTGGCGTGCTTCGTATCATCCGTCTCAGATTATCATTTAGGACCGTCTTGTGTCGTCCGTCGATATCATATGTATATATATATATATATACATCTTCTGAAGTGGCGTCTATTTTGTAAGCTATTAGGTTATCAAAAAAATATCATATATTGATATTCACCTCTCCTAATTTCTATTCTAGCGATAATCACTTCTATCCTATATTTTTATATTTACTAGTAATTTTTCATGTCTCGTATACTTCTATATAACCCCAATAGCTCCTCGTCCACAAGCCCGAAAACCACAAAAAACCTCCTCGCCACCCGCCGAAATAACTTTCAATTGGAAATCGCACGCATGCGAACATGTGAGCACCTGCTTCGTGACAAGAGTTGCAATTTTGGACTTTTGCTGGCAAGCTACCTTGTCGCGCAAATCGCAATCCATGTATTTCAACCTGTCCACCCACGTGAAGCCCACATCTTCACAGAAGCTTGCTTCTGGAGGATCCATGAAGATCCACTTCATGTCCTAACCTCTTCTTTGGCATGACATCAAGGATCTTGGTGATCCGTGCCTGCGTGACCTCACTGCCCATGCTTCAAGTCCTCTTTTTCTATGACGAAGCGGAAGCCTTGAGCCCATAACAGCTGCAAGGCGTTTGACCCCCTCTTCAGTGACACCTACGTACTACGGTTGCGGTTAAATCTCTGCAGCATTGTATGAGGCTCTTGCAGTTCTACAAGAGCCCGACTGGGTGTGTTCTCAACCAAAGACTCGGTCGCAAATCGAAAAGAGAGGGTCCGACGAGGCTCAAGTTGACCATGATGGATGTGCCGCATCCCTGCTCTTGGCCATGTGCTTGACAATTTTCGATCTTGCCCGGTTCTGTTATCACCGCCAATGCCGAAGCTTGGTGCGAATGTTAGCAATTTGTGACTATGTCGTCTAGATCGATTTCTAGCGGAGTTTCCCAAAAATCAAATCATGCTTTCAGTACCATCACGGCGGGCCAAGTCCTCCTTTGAGCCCCAGTTGCCATGTCATGTTGCAACGCGATTCAAGATTAAGGGCTATCTTGACACCCATAGTGAACAAAGACTCAAATTCTTCTACCTCGTATTACTTTGGATTGATTCTTTTGTATGGTTTTTTTGAAACTGTAAGTGAACTATCACGGGGAAACCGAAGAATCGAATAACAACTCCCAACAACAATGACTTTCCGGCAGGCCCCGTTTTCTATGTTGTGCTCGGCAGGACTGTACGCTGGACGCCTGCTTCGTGAAACTATGTGCAACCGGTCGGCATCGAAATCCTGGCTAAGCCAGGATGGGTTCAATTCACCAGACTTCAGGGGCTCTCCGGGGACTTCAGGTACTTCACGACATCATGAGAATGTGCGAGTTGCTGCACCGGGCAAGGGGAAAATCACCAAGAGGAGAGCAGCCTTCTGCTTCCCTCCTGGGATGCTTGGAGGTGCTCGGAAGCCCCGCAAGGCAGGCTCTGCTTACTTCCGCAGTGCCGCCAATTGGGGCTTCGAACCCGGGTCGTTTCGGGATGCTGTTGACGGATATTCCCCGACATAAGGTTCCGCTAGCCTAACCGATCTAGAACCTAGAAGTGACCTCTCGGATTGGCCCAGGTGATGCAAATCGATCTGCCTCCGCGCAAAAGTAGGGTGCTGACTCACATGCTGCACGGCGCTCATATGCGAGCGGCTTCAGCCCATTTCCTGACGGCAGAGAAGTTTGTACATATCACCTTTGAGATTGAATTGAGAGCACGGGCTGAGACTGAGACGAGTGCATACTCTAGGCTGTACAGAACAGAATTGTTGCCCGCTTCTACCCTTGCCTGCTAGATTCATTGAAGCTAGTGAACGAGCCGATCAGCCACAGAGCTGTATTTCATGGACCTCCTCCAGCTTGTGCTGCACCAGCCGCTCGGAGTCGGGATATCCTGTGCTCGCATGCGGGCAACTTCGAGGAAGCGCCGAAATCCTGTTGTCTTGGCTTCGATGAAAAACTCTGCACGACTTGCAGGCCTTTTCCTTGTGCTTCATGGTTGGGCCTGAGCGAAGAGCCGCCCCAGCCACACCTCCCCTCTTTCCGATGCAACGGACAACTTCCCCTGCAAGGCAAGAAGCAGAGAGGCGGCACCAGCACCTGAGAGACACATTGAGTCACGCCACGTTACAGGCACGAAGACCATGGCGGTGCAGCCGTGCCTGTTGCCGTGCGCCCTGACACAGCAGTCCAGTCCTTATCGGTCACCAGCTCACAAGCGACACTGTCTGACAGCAAAAAATCAGACCCAGTTTCGGCCACAGTGCGTTTTGCCATACAGTCCGCCCGAGCTCCGGACCAAATCCCACATCTCATCTGCTTCGACCTCCTCATCTTCCTGAACATACTATCCAAAGAGTAGAAATCTTCAGGTGGCGCTGCAAAGGTTCCAGGTGGGTGTCGAGATGGCGTCGAGGCTGGCCTTGAGGGCCCAAACGCGCGGAAACTCCCAAGCGAAACATGCCCATCCTCAATCCGCCCCTGATGATCCGAAGCAGAATATGAGCCGAAACCCATTTTCCAGAAATGTCAAAGGCCCCCTGCTTCCTGTCCTCATGGTCGTCGGGGAGTGGAACCACCGAAGTCTCGTCCGACACTCGGGACAGCGTGGCAGGACGCCTCGGAGGTGCAACACGAGGCTGTTTGAGCAACACATGCGCTGAAGTACACTGAACGGTACTTCTCAAATACTATACTATAGTTATCACTATAGACTATACTATAAGGTAAACATTCCCAAACTCTAGACCCTTAAGGCCCCAAACAGAACTGCTGGCAACTGTTCTGGAGGATGTCTTCAGCCCCGTGCACTCTGCTCAGCTCTGGATCGAGCTCCTCGGGCTGGTCAGGGTCACCACCAGCTCCGTAAGAATAAGAAGAATACACTTGAATACACAGTTAGTCTTCAATATGTAGCATGTGGTATGTACTATAGGACCATGGGAGTGACAGCCTGATCCGAATTGGTGGAACTTCTGCGAGGGCGGTGGCTGGCCTGGCGTTGGCACAGCAGCGACGTGTCGACAAGCTGTGTCCCCCAATTTTGCAACTTCTGCACTGGCCCGTCACATTTCCTCAAAGTGTCAGGACTGCCTCGTCAGCCATGCGGAACTCTACTGGCTCCGCAGCTGCCTCCAAACTGGAAAACTATCAACGCGAAAAGCACCGGCTCTTCTTCGGAGGGAGGTGGCACAAATGACCAGCAACGGCCTCTTCATGCTGTTGCTGGTAGAAGGAAGGCAAGAGACAGACGGAGAGAGAGAGAGAGAGAGAGAGAAAGAATCAGACACGCATGTGCATTGTGTAAGGGAATTGGGACCTCGCCGCCCAGGCTTCTTCGCCGTTCAAACTGCACCTCGTCCTGGAAGCACACGCTTTCCTTTGTGTTCTACTGAGTGAAGCTTCATGCGTGGATGCCTCCAACGTCTCGAGCGCCTCTTCCTTCTTCCGGAGCTCCTGAGACTTCTTGAAACCGTTGTGAAGATGCACGAGGTAGGGTCGACGGATTCGACGGTCGCAGCTTTTCAAAAGCACTGTGAAACGCGGCTGCGGCAGTCGCACTCCCTTCTGGGGGCAGTGCCGAGCTTGCACATTAACTGGGAGGCGAGCGAGCTAGTCCGCTAGTTGTGTCGAGTGTCCTTCGGCTGGTGTTTGGGCACATGACAAGGCGACGAGGCTTTCTCAGTTTCGCGAGGAATCGTGAATGACAATGGGAATCCTGGGGGGCGGGAAAGGCTTGGCCTTCGGATCCAGTCGCTCGCATGAAACGGTCCCGAGAAATTGCTCCTTGCAAGTTCTTTCTGAGTGCTGCGACTAGAACTGCAAGAGTTGAGGGGTTGCCGATGGGCGAGGTTTGCAAGAAGCGACCCAGCACCACAATGAGTGAGACGGTTGCCTGTGCAAGCTAACCCGCACGTCAATTTGCAGGCCATGTGCCATGAAATGCAGGGAGCCCTACAGCAAGCTGTTGTTGCCAGCAGTCTGCTACCTAATTCGTGTTGCTGACCTTCACAACACGGCAACCACACGTCGCAAGCTTCTCCCATGCAAACCAGCATTGGAATGCCATGGAGACCAACTCGTTGGTCATGGCCCAGCCAGCATGGACGCACGCTGCTGCCTCGAATCTCACGCAACTCGACGCTGCTCAGTAGCTGTCAGCCTTAGGCTGGTAGCCGGCTGCCAAAATGCAGTGAAGACACTGTTTCCGGAGAACCCGCGAGCAAGCGTGGTTGATGTTGCCAGTGTTCTCATCCGTGAGGCGGCGCATCCTGTGATTTAACTGCGAGGCTTTTATGTTTGCTGTGAACACAACACATGACAAGCCTCCGCTTGTGTCATCTTGTGTTTGCCAGTTCATTCCAAGAATCACTTGCAGAAAGTGGGGAAATCTCAGCAGCAGCCGGTGCTCGGGGTGCACCTGCACGACGGCGCGGAAAAAGTGTCAGTCGCAAAAACTCCTCGCCTCTAGTTTTCCATGACCAAAACTTGGAACTTGGGCCTCCCGGACCATGGCGCTCAGGAGACTAACATCGTCCTCACTCATGTCGGCGATGCGGCCTTGGGGGGTGTGACTGCTTTGTAAATATGCAGCTAGGTAGTTATATTGACTGACATCGTCCTTTGGGCCTCGTCCAGATCTAGCCTTCATGGTCTGAGGGCTATGGGGATGTAGTGAGGAGTGGCCGGGGAGAACACACGTGCGGCTTGGCGGCGAGGTGATGAACATGCTGGGAGGGCAAGGGTTTCAAGGAGGTCTTCATCATGTAAGTCTTTCGTTGATCCACCTACAAAGAGTGGTGGTGCAAGTGACGTAGCATCTTTTGTGCAGACAATCCAGGGTTTTTCAGTGCGAACACGAGACCTAAACTAGGCGAAGCTGAAAGCACTCTCAGGTTGATGTTGGCCTGAATCGCAGGTTTCACTTGTGGATATGCAGCGCCGTTGCTGTATGTACGTTGCATGCACATTGCGACGTCTTTCCTTGTTCATCCGAGTTGGAGTTTCCGCCGAGCAGCTGATGATGGTAAGAAGGGAGTCGAAGGTCAGCTCCCGAACCTGATCGATTGGAGCATCCGGGCAAAGCTTGACGTACACAGGGCTACCACGGAACCTGCGACGCAGCCCGGCCCAGCTCAGTAGCTGGGGTGCTTCAAAAATAGTACTTCGACACTCGGCTTGGCAAACCACCCGGACTGTCTCTTTCAGCCTCGCTGGGAGTGCATCTAAGCCGCCCAATTGGAATGCAAGTCGAAGATCCTGAGAAGAGAATCGTACCACCGCTCCCCAGATGCCAAGATTCGACTTTCTGGCAGTCCAAGGCTCTGCCGGAAACCCTCCACCTCTTCGAAATCCAAGCCCAGCTCATCTACCACTTGCCTTCGGGCAACTCGATTCCACTTCAACCTGCCCCTGTCTGCTCTGCGACAAGTGTGGGCAGTTGGGCCAAGGAACATTTCCGCATGCATATCCTCGGGAACCAAACCGACAAAAATCCTACGACTTCTACCTGGACTTCTATCGGGGCTAAGCAGCTCTTTCATCGCGAATGTCGTCACATCTTCGCATGAGAACCAGCAGAGTGCTGAATGAAAGTCGGCCAAGTCCATCTTGATCCACGTCCTGCGCCGGTTATTGCTTGGCGAGCAAGCTGCGAAGCTTTGCCTATGCAGGTTCTTGCTAACACACCTCCCTTGCAGCTGACATCGTGATACCTTCCGGGCAACCCTGATTAAAGCGTTAGACTCCGAAGCAAACAGCCCAAAAACAAGTCCTTGAGGATGATCTGCACCTCTGCTCGGCCTTCCTCGGCTGCGACGACGGCTGATGCAATCATAACGGCTCGGAACTTGAAACCATCCTGGATCGCACACCGATGGAACTTTTTTGTCGGCTCACATCAAGATGAGCAATCCGAGGTCTCTCCCGGAACGGATGCCCTTACAAAGTGTGTCCATCGAAGATCCAAGGATCCTTCGACTTCGTGGCCTGCATTGCAAAACACTTGCCCCCGAGGCACAACTCCAACCCGGGCAGTCCGCAGTTTCAGCAGCAAAGTGTCAGTTGGATAAGTCAGACAAGGATATCGTAGCGTTGCCTCAGGAAAGTATTCCGCAATGATCTTGGCGAGCTCCGTGTTTTCGACAGTACCGCTCTTGTCCTGCAAAGCATGGACATGGGTGCAGTTGTGCTGTAGCCTGCTGCACACAGCACGAGCAGGCTGTGCCCAAATCCTTGTCGAATCGGTCGAAGCAGTCGCGAAGAGCCACCACCTGAACAGGACGCAATGCTGTGGCATGCAATCATAGCTTACCCAAGATGTGCCTAGGAGTATGTTCAGTGTTGTCGCATCCAGCCTCGCTTGGAGTGTAGCAGGCGTTGTGCCGAACGTCCTGGATCAGCAGCTTTCCTCGCTGAGTGCAGCGGCGAGCAAGTTCTAGGAGGGGCAGTCCCCAGAGCCGGGGCCCGGGTTCTACTTCAGAACATACCGACAAGCCCGTTCCTTGCTACCACTTCATATTGCAGACTAGTGTCTGAAATTCCTGCAGAACAGCTCGAACGCCGACCGCGACACGGCATTCTTCCTTGGATTCGTTCGAAGTGCTAGCTTTATTTCTTACGTGCAATTGCTCGGATGAAAGTCGCGTTGTATGCCACTGCCAAGGGGCGTGTCTAAGAGCGAGAAATCAGCCATTCGCGCGGCTTGTTCTCCCCTCTTGGTCATGCCAACGCTGGTGTCGTCATAGAGCTTCCTGACAGCAAAGACGAACACCCAGCCTACACTGAGCCAGTTGGTGGACATTAGTGTAGAAGTGGCCAAGCCAACAACAAGATTGACTGACAAGCTTCGAGAGGGCGAACGGAAGCTTTGACACAGGCACCTTGGCCGGAGGTTGAGCAAAATGCCATGCGCCATGCTTGCCCTGCCAAAAACTTTAGTGGCCTTCTAGCGGCGAGAGTCTAGAGCGCAGGGGCTCGAGATGGCTCGAGTCTGATGACCAGTGGAAACAGCGATTGTCTTCATCTGCGTGCTGCGCACTACGCGTCCAGCCATCCCGCGTGCCGACGAATCACTCAGTTTAGCCCTGGGAAGTTGAGGCCCTCGCATGTCCATTGCCTCTGCTGTCTAGCATCGCGAAGACATTCCATTGCTTCTCTCGCTCTTCCTTGCGAGAGGCACTACGTCGCGCACGAAGAATATCTATGAATCTCCCTGTTGGGAATGAGCATTGATGCCTAGAGTAGTCTTCTTTATGAGCGATAGCACCGAGATCCACGAGCTGCGCTGACGTCTCGATGCTTGACACAGCTGAGCTGCCAAGAAGAAGCCGCGCATTAACTTCAAGAACCTGCGAGGCCAAAGAAACCCCTGCAAATGAGGAGATGCTGCAGGCGGAAATCGAAAGCTTCAGTTGCAAACGAAGCCGCCCCTCGAATTCCAGCTTGCCAATGCCATCAAGATCGAACTGTTCAAGAAGCTGTTGCACCTGGCTGAGGCGCACCAAGTAGCAGCAGCGCACTCACAATCGCAGGGTTGGCAGAAGGCCTCCTGCATGGGCTTGGCAAAGTTGAACCATCGCATAACGCGGCTCCTTTTTGCAAGAAAGAAGCCGATCCAGCCCCGGCACCAGATTGCACATTGACTGCAGCCACGGAGCGCTTGCAGTGAGTCCAATGCTCGGACGATGGGCGCACTTTCCTCCGGATGCGGAACATCGGCGACAGCAACAAACCGAAATCTTTAGTTGCGGGTGGAGCTTCGAAGTTGAAAGGACTGCCCGGTCGCGGAGAGCCGCTTGCCTTTGGAGAAGGGACCTGGCTCTCGCGACCGGAAACTACGGAATCTTTTAGGAAGAATCTTGTAGCAGCGGCTTCGGCGGCTGAGTCCTACACTGGACTCAGTGCAGAAGCTTTCGCCGCCGCCGGTCTGAGCTTTGTCGCAGATTCTGGCTTCGCAGGCGCAGGTGTCCTTGACTTGCATCTGCGAGAAGTGTGGCTGACCGCTGGTCGGTCTTTTGAACTTAGAATGGCTACATATAGCCAAGATGCTTTGGGCTGGTCACGGCGGGATCCTCCAACTGTTGAACGAACTTTCGCTGTGATGTCACCTGTCGTGCGTGCTGACAAGGGGTGGCACGGTCACGGGCCACGCACCACGTGTGTAGCCTGCAGCTACATTGCTAGATGCACAAGCCGGCGCCTTGCACTGATGATCAAATGCCGCGCGAATGTCAGCTGCCTCAAGGTGCGTCAAACCTTCTCTGTCACGGAACTCACGGAGGAAAGAAGCCTCAGAATCTGCGCCGACCATCACGGACCGCAACATTCGAGGCTGTAGTCGCTTTGTCCGGAACAACTTTCAAATACGGTAACACGAATGTACACCAGCGTCAGCACATGCTGCCAAAAAGCTATCTGATCCCGGCTCATGTGTGTTTGATTCTCGAGCGGATACAGGTCGTCCAGGATGGAGAAGATGAGATCGTCTGTTGCGAAATACCTTCGAGATTGTGCTCTCCCACGACAAGAGACCAGTACGTCCGACCGAGTGGCTTTAACTCCACGAGTGCACGAGGAAGATCTTGCATCAGCAAGGGGGAGCCATCCTCGGTCAAGAGATCGAAGACGGAGGCGATGGCCTCTCGCTCGGCATCGCGGACCCTGCGGATGAGCTTGAGCAGCTCCTCAGCACTCAATGTGACAAAAAGCCGGATCGCTTCAGACGAGACTAAAACATGTGCAGCGGCGACAAGAGCTCTACACTACACCGGCTTGCATCCCTCCTGGAAGCTGATGTATCCACTCTCGTCGTTATCCACCTCCTTTGCGATGGCTTCGAGCTTGTCTGCGCTGATACTGTACCCCAAGTACCTTCGCATTCGCTGGCATTTATCGTGCACACTCCATGGCTTCGGAATGTTTCAGCTTAGGCTCTTGACCATTCGGGAAACATCTTCTACAGGCATCTCCTGCGTTTCAGCAATCAGCTTCTTGGCAATGTCACTCTGACTTCCAGCTCCTTGGCATTTCGAGATGGCGCGCGGCATGCAATGCGGATCCCAATCGAAACTTGCTCTACAAGCAGCCAATGTCCACCTTTCGTGACCTGCTCTCCGCCTTGCGTGTCAGATTCACACCTATGGGCCTATGCTAGAGCTCTGCTCAGCGGCGCCTTTGCAGTTCTTGCCATGCGGTCGTACAGAGTTCGAAGTTCCTGGACGTCGTCTTTGGCCAAGCCTCGAGCACATCAGCCTAAGTCTCCCCAAGAGACTGAGGAATCGGCCCAAAATGGCCTTCGGTGCATCGCAGATGTTCTCGCAGCTTCTCGAATTTTCGCAGGTTCACCTCGAGTTGGGACAGCTTCGACTGCAAGCCAGTTAATGGCACGGCTGCAGGGCTGCCAGCGGAAATTAAGTAAAACAAGCTATACTCTACTACAGTATCTTGTCATAGGATCGTCCTTTGCAGGCTTTTCCCTTCAGGCCAGGAACACAGCCGGAGACCCCGCAGCCGATTGTGTCCATGGCCTCTTGCACAGTGTGTGCCTCAGTTGCAAGATCTCCCGCACCACAGGCAGAATGGCCCAGCTCCAACAGACGGTGGTGTGGTCGGAGGGTGTGACGAGAGGCTGCTGGTACTGGCAGCTCCCGGAGCCGCTGCGTGATTTCTTTTGTTGCTTTGATTTTGTTGCATATAATATTATTGAGAAGCAACGCTTTCAAGAAGTGAAACGGAATTATCTAGACCAGACACCAAAAAGCGGATGAGTTGGAAAAAGTTGGAAAGGAATCTCACGCCGAAGAAACTGTTTGCCGACATTCGAGCCTGCCCCACACTTCGTTGCCAAACCTTCGTGCCTAAACTTCGCCCGCCCAAACTTGGCACACCAAACTTCGCATCGGCATCCCCAAACCTAGCGGCCCAAACTTCGCCGTGCTGCACTTTACGGACGGTCTGCCGATGTTCCAGCGCGCAGTGTCATGTGTTTTCTGGAAAGGAGCATGCACAGCACTACGTCGCATGATTTACACCCGAAAGCTAACGCAAGAACACGTTGCTGCCATGTTAATCAATCTGCGCCGATAGATTTGCCGAACAATTTGTAAACTACGATTTTTGTTCGCTGAAGTTCGCTCTGCAGCCAGGTAAGGTTGAGGGGGCCAGGCCAATGCGATGCATCCTCAACAGTACCGACAGCTACCAGGAGTTGATGGGTTGGGCCGTGCGTTTCTCTGCCAACGTATGTCATGGAGGAGTGAAGCAAGCACCAACCTCGAGAAACCGAAACTAATCAGAAGACCCGAGCTGGCCTCGCCAACATGCGAACCGGCAGAAAATACATACACGTACATGGGAACAGGCCGTTGAACAGGCAGGTATAGGAACGAACGAGACGCAGACGCCGCTAGGTCGGCGCAGACTGCCCGCAACGAAGAGTCAGCAGGAAGGGCTTCGCGACGGCGTCGGATGGAACGACCACTGCCACAGGCGATGATGACCGCCAACTGGTCGAAAAGGCGGTTGCGGATGGTGAGGGCAGAGAGCCCTTCAACCGCAGAGACGACATCAGCAAGCCGAGGAGGGCAGCGGCTTCGGTGCTCATGCCCCCTGCGCCTCAAAGATGATGGGCTGGTATATGCTGGTATGTCACCCCTGCTTCGAGGCAGAGAGCTTCGGTCCGCTGGTGGCGGCGCTTATGAGTCGCGTAAGCTGCGGCTGTGCCAGCACGATGACACGGGGTGTTGCCGGTGCCGGATCTTGATATACATCGCGAGGTCTCCACAGGGCCAGCAGAAACAAGAACGGCGGTCTGAGTTGTCGATTCTCTTAAGGGGTAGATTGGAGCTAGAACCACCGAAGAACAAAGCCACTCACATCGACAAAGGAATAGGGGACGGGGATGAAGCCAGAACCACCCACACCCACGCGAGGGGAAGGGTAGTCCCCGAACCCAATCCCACCCCCCCTCGCCGGGGAGGGGGGCGTTCGTTAAACAAGTTTGGAGGAGGAGGTGGGGCCTGGCAACGCGGCACCATGGATTCTGCTGAATGTTTGCGGCACCGAGGCACTTCTGTCACATAGCCCATCTTGTTCAGAAGCGCGCGCAGCTCCTGAACGTCTAGGACGCCGTTCCCGTCTGCATCTGCGGCTGCGAACTCTTCCCGGAGGTACTGTTCATCCACCTGACAGGGTTCAGGCTGTACTCGAGAGATAGAGCAAACGTCGAAGCAAGCCTGCACAACGCATGGAGGCTTGAATACTTAGGAATTTGGTTTTGGAGCAATAAAAACCTACAGTACTGGAAGATTACGGAATCATATTGGTAATTATCCAGGCCACTATGTCGGCTGTGCGCACTCAACCGGTGGAGACAGCATGCAGCACACGCCCTGAGCTGCCTCGCGATATCTCTCCAAAAAAGTCATCCACTCCTGGATCCATCTCTATCGAGTCTCACTTACCGCTAGCCAAGAGTCGGACTACGACAGTGGCCAAGTCAGACGGATGGGCAGCGTGATTGCACCATCAGCAGTCCTCCCAACTGACGGTGGCGTAGCTGAACATATCCTTGACGAGTCTTTCGATCTCGCCTGGCCGAAGGATGCAGCCCATGTACCTGAGGCGGAGCGGGAGCCGTGAACCCATCCAAACTCAAGAAACATCCTATATCCTGACCACACCAGAGCCTAGCAGCGCCTATGTCCGGAAGCCTCAAGAGGTTTCGGATGAACATGCCATGCATGCATTTCCAGCGGCAGCTGGAAACTCTCTCTCCCAACGAGTACTACCAAACAAGGGGAATCTGCAATGCTCCAGTTCTCGTTTGTCTACTTCTATCAGCTTGCTGTACCGAACAAATCTTAGGAAACTCCGACTTCGACGAGTACAGCAGTCACTCCTGCTATCGCAACTCTTCTGGCCACTGCACCTGAGCATCATTTGCAGCTCTTCAGTCGCCACCTCACCGTCCTCAGTAGCTGCCCAGCTTGACTACATTGCTGGTGATGCCTTTTGCTTCGGTCCATTCTTGGTGAGTGGCGGTGTCTGTGTCGAACTTGATGAAGACGCTGCCTTGGTTCTCAGGGCCTCTCTGGAGTTCAGCCGAGCAGCCTTGGCATTCAACCAAGGCAGCCGAGCCACGGCATTCTTCGTCGCTCCACGGGAAGTCCAGTTCAGCATCATTGTCACCGTCGTCCCCAGTGTCTTCAACCTTCTTCAGGAAGGCCTGACCAGCTGACGCTCACAGCCTAAAACACACGTTAAGGTCTGGTGTAAACCTTGGAAGCCGACACGTTCAGCTGTGAGATGTTGCACGGGCGACTTTGGTATACAAGGCCTCCGCAACGGAGAATCGGCGAACGGGCTGGTTGTTGGAGTCGAGTAGTGGCAGCATCATTGCCTCAGCTAGAGTCTCAACTGCATGAAATCTACCCAAGGCTCTGAGATAGCAAACCTCGTCGAATCATCAGATACGCCTGCAAGAGGCTTGCAAACAAGGTGCAAACGCTGACATTCGACGGGTGAGTCCCGAACTCCGCTTATTCATAGACATCCGCAGAGCTTCCTCATCGTCACTTGAGTCTGCCAGGTCGCTCGACGAGTCCTTGCACGGTGTCTACGCGATTCTACCTACCCTCCCTCCAGGTGCCGACGCCCGCCTCCGAAGTCAACAGACCGCCATGGTTGGGGCTACTTACCCGTGTTCCTGCGCCTTTTGACTGCCACGGCTAGGGCTAGGGGCAACCGTTCAGGGCCTCACATATGCCCTGACCTATAGTACGTAGCTGTAGCTTCCGGGGGGAGCGGGCTCAAATCATGAGGGGGTCGAGAGATCGTCCTCATGTTCACCAAGGAACGCTCGAGGAGTCCGATGTCAAGGATGAGGAATCGCTGGAGCTGTCCGACTCTTCCTCCCTCTTCTCGAGCTTCTCCTCCTTTTTGGGCTCAGGAGCCTGAGCGGCCTGAGCCTCAACCACGGCCAAGGGCTCTTCGAGATCAACGGTGTCCACCCGGAACTCGTGGGTCTCCAAACCGCCTCCCCAGGCGGCCCTCTTCCGATTCTTAGACTTCGAGGAGGGCCGAGTCGGAGAGGTTTTCCTGGGTGCCTTCTGCAGCAGGCTTTGGAGCCTCTTCTTGCTGTGTTTCAGTGGGAGTTTGGGGCCCCCCCGGCAGTGCCCAGAGCCGCCAAAGGCGGGATTTGAGCGGAGACTTCCGCTGGTCATCACCGACAAACTCTGATCCGAGAAGTTCATGCTCTGGATGGAATGCATGATTCGGCTAAGAGACGGCAACTTTGCTGGAGGAGCGGTTGCTTTGGCTCCGGGCCGCTCCCATTCTACACCTCTCTCAAAGGCCATGAAAGGTAGCCGTTGGCTCCCGCGGCTCGCGACCTCAGCTGCTTTTGGACCGCAAATGCGCTCAAGTCTATGGGAGATGGGAGTGCCACTTGCAGCCGAGCAGCCGCACCTTTCTTGATGTCTTTGATCGAGAAAGTTTTGGCATGAAGGTCCACCGAGCACAGCTGCAAAGGTGCGACATAAGCCTTCTTGATGTTGGGAAGGCTACTCGACTTTCCGAGCTTTGAGCGCGGCGGACTCCGCGACTTCCTCGACCTCATCGATGGCGCTTTGGCCGCTTTGCCATCATGCCGAGCAAAGTGGCTGCGGGCATCCTGCTGCCACGTAGACCCACGACCCGCAGCAAGCATCGTCCAGGGGGACCCAAACTGTGAACGCTAAACAATGATCGTAACACAAGCACCGAGTCCCTGTGTGAAGCCTCACAGAAAAAGGAATCCACATCAAGGATACGGACAAAAAACGCCAGAGGCCGAGCAGGATCCTCCTCCTTCTCGAGCAGGCGGATCTCTCGGTCCTCCTGCCTGGCAGGTTTCCGCTTCTTTTGAGGGGTGCGCAAGATGGGGCTTTAGTAAAGCAAACCCGGGCCGGGCCGACTCTTCTTTCCAGGCCCTCTGCTTTGCCTCGAACTTTGCCCAGGCATGGGCCAACGATGTAGAACACACCTCCGGGCCGGCGGTGATCTCGTCTCTCATCCACAACATCTGCAAAGGCACAGCTGCTTCAGTCGCTTTTTTCTTGTCAGTGGTGAAGATTGCATCTTTGGCAATCCAGACTCTAGACTCCTGCTTCCAAGCAGGTCAGCGAGCTCATGCGGCTCACCAGAGCCAAGGGCGATAGCCAATCCGGATCGCCGCTTTGCGCTGCAGCCGGGTCAGCTGTCTCCAGCTTTTTGTAGCCTAGGCCGCAAAAGGGAGACATCAAGAGCTGCCTTGGTTTAGGCCTCTTCAGCCGGGAGGCCGCTGCACTTGCCAGCTCTTCATTCCTGTGCCGTATCACAACGAGGGGAACGCCTAGGGCTCCTGTTCCTTTAAACGATACCTTTAGGTTCACAACGAGAGGTGGCAGCAGTCACTGGGACTTTGGGCAAGCGGTTTGATGCAGGCGTGTGGCAAAGTGGAGCGGTCAATGCCCAGGTGCTGCCTCAACGGATCTTGGGAAGCGGTCCGTGAGTTTTTGATATCATCCAAAAAGCTGCTCCATACGGTCAGTCGAACTACAGTAGGCATCAACATGATGAGAAGACCTAGTACCCCGGCAAGACAGGAAGTTTGCAGGACAGGCTGCCAGTCTCGCTGCTGGTTCTTCGCCAAGCAATCCCACAACTGTAAGTGAGTGCATCCAGATCTGCAAAGAATGATGTCCGTCATCTCCTTCAATGCAGCCTGGGTTGCGTGGTGAGCAGGCTTTAAACAACCAGCACACGACCAAGACTACCAATCATCAACTCGGCTCCACTGCACATTAGCAGCGTTCTCCATCAGTATTGCAAACACACGGACACTTCTCAGGACGACAGCCTGGGGATGTTGCATCCTTATGCTCTATGATGTCGCCAGCTTCCCAAACACTCAACGGGCTGCTGTCATTGCTGCCAGCTGCTTGCTTGCTTCCACCGTCATCCGTTGTCCATCTACGCAGCCACTCTACTGTCAGCAAGGGGTTCATGGCGAGCACTTAAATGCGGGTCTTGGCGCTGACGGCACATGGCAAAGGAACATTACAGTAACACGCAGCATCGAACGTGCTGCGCGTAAAGTTTACGTACACTAGTTACAGGTTTGTTCCTGGCATTTGTCGGGAATGGGCCATGGGAGGGAGGGGAATTCTGGATCGAAACGTAGTGGCTGGAGGCCATAGGCTCCAGGGTGCCACACTCTGCGCATAAAAGCTACTACCCACCAGGTCTGCGTAAATCACGGCATTCCCCACTTGCTGCTCCATTGACATCTGCACCCTGAACTCCTCTAAACTCTAGACTCGAAGCCCCGCAGTACACGCCTAGCACGAGTTCGAGGATGCAACCACGATGCATTCCATGTTTCTGCAGAAAAGCCTAAGCAAGTGGCGGCTGTCTTCTCCTCAGCTGCCATACCCACCGGTTCCCGCCCAGACCCCAGCAAAGTCCTGCTTTCTAAAGGATTTACAGGATGGCACGATTAACAAAAGACGGCTGATGGTTCACGAGTGAGTGGCGGCGAAGCTCAACAGCGGCCACTTCTTGAAGCTCGACGCTGGCTTCCTGTCTCAGATGCTCACACATGCTACAAGACGTGCATTTTGCCGGCTGCATTTTGTGGTCCTGGCTTGCCGCATCCACGAGAGCGGTCTCCAGCCCAACCTGCTCCAACAGCGCCGCGCTTTCTTCGGCATGCCTGACACCAGTCTCAAAAAAGATCGGCCACGGTCAGACAAGCCTGGTGCCAATCGGACCCAGACTGACGGTGGATAGTGGCTTCAGGCTCCGTCCGGCATCGATTACATTCATTGCTGTTCCTTGTTTCTTTCTAAGCGTGTCGAGGTCGCACCGCTTGCCTTGCCAGTCTTGAAAGAGGCTTGGCACAACTTCTGGCAATGGTGCCCAAAGCGTTGGACAGGTGAATCCGCAATTCTCCTTGTTGCGCGGAGAGCTATCACATCCAAGTCGTTCTTGAGACCAGAATCCAGCAAGAAAAATTGATTTCAACCAAGCAGCCTTTCTTGCTTCATCTGCAAGCTCGTCCTCAGGCGCGGCAAAGTTTGCAGCCATCGTGCTGTTTCATAGCACTCCAATGATACACGTCAGCATGGACAAGTGGCGCAGAGGGAGTACCTCCAGCGCAGTGCACCAACCAGCACACAACACAGGTTGTGCATCATTGGCAAACTTGCAGCGGAGTCGCAACTCCTTGTCGAAGAAAGGCCAAGTGCTTCCAATTGTACCATCCAGTCTACCAGCCAAGACCTCTGCCATGCTTCGCCCACCCGCTTGAAAGGCACTTCGGGGGGCAGTGATACGTAGATATCGATACTGTAGCAGCAGTCTGCCCTTCCGGCATCATATCACACCTAAGGTTTGGCTGTCGGTTGACACGAAGGATCTCTAGTCTCTTTCGCCTGCGACGGAGGCAACTGCGGGGAGGGAGGCCTCATGTGCAGCGCGTGCCCCCGAGACGATGGCCGCCTGGCAAAGATTTTGAACTTCGACCCCAGACAGACATAGACTATACCTTTACAGAAATGTTCAGTCTACGGAAATGTGCACTCATACAGTAGATGAAAGATTGAGAAAACTCGAGACAAGCTCACGAACCACATGCATCGGAACTGCGCCGAACCCCATCCTGTGTACCAGTTTGAATTGTCGATGCAATGGCAATGTCTGAGGGCTCAGTGACCCTTTTGCATCTGGCTTTCGCGGACTGAGTGGCCCAAAACCCCAAACCGTAATTGCCTGAGCGGTTCCGTACATCAAACGGCACGTGTGCTCGCCGGCAAAGGCAATGCCTGGCGTGTGGTCCGCGGCATTGCAATCTGCGGGTGTCTTCTGAAGCATCATTGTCGGGGCTCTGTGCTTCCAACAAAACCCCGACCTGCCTGGGATCGCCTGCTCGAAGATACTGAAATCTCGGCTGCTGGAACCCACCTGGCTGGAGACCGCATTGCTTCGGGAGGCGACGGGACTGGCAGAACCGGTGCTGGGGCCTTTCCCGACGTCCAGGATCCCAGAACCTGATATGTCTTCCGAGCTGCCAAAGGTGTCCGACGCGTCCGTGCGGCGACATGTGCTGCCGAGGCTCGGAAGGGTCCCAGGAGAAGGACACGAGCTGTACAGCCTCCACGGCTGTCGATTGCAGTTGTGGATACCTCAGCGTTGCCAGACGTGCACTGCAATGCGCACCGACGCCGTGCAAACTGCAAGCGGTCAAGCTGCATCTGCAAGAGCTCCTCTACAACGCGGCTCCGCAAGGCTTCCTTGCCGGCCTGCTTCAACTTCAGCACCTGGCAAACAGGTCGTTGCCGCCCTAGAAAGCACGGGCTCCCCCGGCCTCTGAAAAGGAAGCACCCGACAGCAGACAAATCAGCGTGCTCGGTGGCGGCGCAGGCCTGTCGGCCCATCTGACGTGTCTTGACAGCGAAAAGCAAAGCCACCAGCCCAACAAGTCCCAAACTCCAACTCATGCCAGGCAGGGTGCACGGTGGAGGGTCTGGTCGATGTAGCTGCTTCCCCTTCCAACGCATCCGGCGTCACCACAACCGCGCTGCTTTTTAGCTGGTCGACGATACGTCTACTTGCATCACGCGTTTAGCCAAGGCGCAGGTGCAGTAGTAGAGAAGGCTTCGCGATGTGTGCGACACCAGCTTCGAGAGCAGGTACGTGCCGCTTCCTTCGTTTGCAGAGGCGGGCAGGCTGTTCTTGCTGGCATCTGCTTTCTGCAGTTTTGCCCAGGTCAGCCGCCTTCTAGGTCCTGATTTCCCCGCCGCGTCTGCTACGCTGCACACTAGCTGAACATAGTTTGGCTTCTATGTCAATCTCCTTGTGGCATGGAACTTCTTCGTCTGCTTCTTTCCCTCTCCGTCCTCTGTACACTCACTCCCTTTACATAAAGTGCGAGGCGCCCAAGTGTCTCTCTGTGCGGTGGCAGAGCTGCAGGTTGCTCACGGGCTCGCTCACTCGCTCTCTGGAGCTCACTGAAATCCACCTTCCTCAAGATGCGAAGTTTTTGGTTGGACAAGATACCCTCCGGAGACTGTCCATCCGCAAACTTTATGAACAGCTTGGCGACGTCACCCATCTGCAAGCCTCGGAAGCTTCCGTTTGCTGAATCAGTGGTTGGCACCAGCCAATCAGACAGCTTCTGTCAGCTCGCGATTTCAGGATACTTTTTTTTAGGTGCTTGGTGGCCTGTATGCGTCCAAAGCACGGTGCAAAGATGCCTGCATCTTTCGGCGAATTCAAAACATTTGCTGCTGCTGCTGCTGCTGCTGTGCATCTTGCTACAGCTGGCTTGCTGCGAGGCAGCATTCCAGTCACTGGACATCGGCGGCTGGAGGTGCATCTTCTGCTGCAAGACGGTCAAGGGAACGGCCACGATCACAGCTGCGCCTTGCGACATCTGCTGCTGCCGCCCTCGTGACCATGCACCATGAGCGGTCAGCACGTGCAGCCCGATGCCTCGGTAGGTTTCATTCGCCGTACGGACTGAGACCGCACTCTCCAGAGATATGGAGGTCACTTCAGTGTTGTATCGCACATTCAAGCCCTTGGCCAACTCCCGCA